ATGCCCGCAGGGCTCCTGCAGCCCTGTCTGGTGGGCTGAGGACAGGGAGGTCTGGCCTGGGACCGTGGGCAGCAGCTCCCACCCGAGTCCTGGGCTCTCACTCCTGCTTTTGGAGGTGTCAGCCTGCTCCTTGTTAATTAGGGGGGGCTGCGCTGGTCTGAGCCAGGAGCCGTCCCTCCTGCCTCAGGAGTCCCCTCCCCATAAAGGGGATGTGCTTCGGGGCGCAACGCAGGATATTAGTCCACAAGAAAAATATTCTGCCTCTGCAGAAATCCCCGGAACATTTGTGGAGGTCCCGTGTCCCACTGATGCTTGGCGTGAGCAGGATGTGGCCCTGTGCCAGGGGCAACGCTGGCGTCAAGTGCTCATCCCTGCAGGTCACGGCTCCAGCTCTGCCCACATCCCCGCTCCTTGCCCTTCACATCAGCAAAGCTCCCCAGCCCCAGCCCCAGCTCGGAGGCAGCTTTTCTGTCATCTTCTTCCCAGCATTTGCAGTGCTTTGAAGAAAAGAAAAAGAAATAGAAAATGTATTTCCACTGTGCACGTCTGCAGTGGCACAAACGTGTGGCTCGGGAACAAGCTTTTAAACAGGCCTCCCAGTTATCCCAGTTCCAGTGGTCACAGGGCACATGGAGCCAGCCCTCTTTGGAGGAGCTGGGACCACAAGACATGTTTTAGACCTGCACCCTGATGGGTGCTGGTCACCTCTGCAGTCAGCACCCATCCTACCTGGGGCTGGCTGTGCTCGGGGACCAGTCCGTGTGCTGCACTGGGAGCACCAGTTACCCAGTGCCGCACCCCAGCTGCCTCTCCTTGCAATGTGAGTGAATTTATTTTCTGTCAAAGCTGCTGATAAACGAGGTGGGGGCTGAGCGGAGGGGTGCGGGACGCCATCGGCGGGCACAATGAAGCAGAGATGAGCTGTCTGTTAAAAGATAAGCACAGCTCCTCTGGCCGGGGAGGCTGCAGGTGGGCCGGCGCCCCGGCTGGCGGTGGTCACGGTCCCACTTGCCACAGGAGAAGGGTTTTTCCCTCCTGCTGCCGTGTTTCGGCAGCTCCTGGCTCCCTGCCATCGGCTCAGGGCTTTCATCATGGGTGATGCTTTCTGTGCATCGTCTGTGGTGCCCGTTCTGGTGGCCAAGCTGAGCTGCTCAAGGGAGAAGGTTTCCCAAGCAGAGGGGTTTCCCCTTGCAAACCTGCAATGGTTTCATCTAAAAACCACCAAGCACCGAATTTCTAAAGGGCGAAAGCAACCCCGGGTGGGACAGCAGGTGCTTTGGCTGTGCCGTGGGAGGGTCGGGACCCCATGGACCCTTCCCCGCCTGCCCCCCAGCATCCTGGCACAGCCGGCGAGGCATTTCGGGGAGGGCAGCCTGAAGCCTCTTGCCGAGAAGAACCTTGTCTCCAGCCCACCCTGTCCTTGGGGAGGTGGTTTGGTGGTTGACTCCCCTTTGCTGTTAAGACTAAGCATCCCCTTGCATGCTCGGGCAGAGCAGAGCCCCCCGCTCGAGCCCCAGGGTCCCTGCGCGGGGGGTACGGGCCGGCTGCCATTGCAGCGTCTTGCGACCGCTTCAGCAGGCTGAATCGATGGAGCTATTTTGGGCTCCGGCTGTAAGGCATTTTTTCCAGGCCTTGAATCATTTTTGTGGTTCTTTTCTGCCTCCTTTCCAATTTTTCACCGTCCACTGCAAAAAGGGGTACGCAATGCTCCCGGCTTGGCCGCGCGGGTGCTGCCCGCCGAGGGGCCAGCGCGGGAGCTGCCTCCAGCCTCCCCGGTACCCGTGTTTGGCTGGGGGGCTGCTGGCAGCTCCCTCCCCGGCCCCAGGACAAGGCGGTCTGGCAGCCAGACGCAGTCCTGTGACTGCACTGGGGTTTGAGCGAATACTTCCTCGCTGTCTCCTCCTCCTCTTCTGCATTTGTTACATATAAAGAGGAAAAGGGAAAAAAAAAAAAAAAAAAAAAAACTCAAAAGCAAAACGCATTCCAGGCTGCACCGCTGGACCAGCCTGGGCGAAGTTTTCCTCGACTGCAGCGTCCGCTCAGACCCTTTGTAACCCTCCGGCATCGTTCCGGTCGCCAGCGCGGGCCAGGCGGCGTGGGTCGCCCTGGGGATGAGCGGGTCACCCAGGGATGAGCAGTGTCCCCCCGCCCGGGGGGTCCCTGCTGCTGTCATGGCACAGGGAGCGCGTTCCCCATGCCTGGGTTGGAGCATCGTGAGCCCTTGGCCACTCGCTTGGGGGGTCACTGAACAAGCATGGGTGATATGTCCCTGCTTAGTCCCCACGTGGCCCGTGCCTGCAGGGTGACCCTGGCTGAGCCTCCACGGGGGTCTGAGCCCCCGTCCCGGTGTTGGCCAGGGTCAAGCTTGTGCCAAAAGCACTTTGGCTTGTGAACGGTGATTCCCGTAGCTGGCGGCAATCCGGGATGCCCAAGGGCTCAGGGACCCGTCCTGCAGTTGCCATCCCCCAGCTCGTACGGGGGGTGCAGGCAGGCAGGGGGTGCAGGCAGGCAGCGGGGAGCAGCCTGAGGGCATTCGGGGTGCGGGCACTGCTGGCCCCTACTCACCACAGCACCCTTCTGAGCGGAGGCTCCAGCGCCACGGGCAGACAAACCGGGCTCCGTCCCGAGAGCAGGCTGCTTCACCAGACCCTGGCAGGCAGAGCAGTTGGTTTTCCCCTAGGACATTTAGAGCTTTACCTTTTTTCCCAGCTTTTGGGGGTTTTAGGGATTTCTTTTGAGAAGAACAATTGCAAATGCGACTTTCATTGTTTCATTGCTGCCGGTTAATGGGAGGAACTGGTCCTGTCCTTACTCCCAGCATCACCTGGGCTGGCTGGTGAGGCACCTCGAGCCGGTGCCATAGGAGCCCCCAGCAGATCTGTGCTCCCTGCATGGTGCAGGAGGAGCCAATGGCTCTCCTTGCCCCACGGGGGTGCAGCAGCCCCCGGCCACGGTTCAACTGACTGGGAGCAGGACCTCTCACGTTCACGGCATTGGTGCTTCTGGTGGGGTTTTGGGAAGAACCGATCCTTTCTGAGGGTTGTAACCATTTGCGGTGTTTTTTTTCCCCTGCAGCTCCTCGGTGCTTGTGTGCTGCCCAGGATGGAGGCAACAAGGAAGCGAGTGTTTAATAGGTAAGCGCTGGCCTTTTGCTTTGTTGGACGCTGCTCATCTGCCCATCCTTTGCTGAGCCCTCCTGGCCTCACCGCTGCTTGCAGGGCCCATCCTGATGTGCCCCGTGGCGGGGACCCCCTGTCCTGGGGGCCTCAGCCTGCAGCAGGCTCCCTGGGGGTGCTGGGCGCTGAGGCTGTCCTGCTTCCCTGCCATGCTTGAAGCCAGCAGCGTGTGGATGGAATGGGTGCTAAGCCCCAGTGTTGGGGTGCTGGACACAGAGCCCAGCCCTGGGGTATTCCCTGCCCCCACAGTGATGCCCTGGGGTGCCCCAGCCCCCAGCAGGCTCCTCTGTGGGGGGCATCACTCCCACTCCCAGGCTAGGGGTTTTCTCTCCATTCTGGCCAGCCTTGGGGTGCTGCTCTGGGACCCAAGGGACAGTGAGGTGTCCCCCAGGGTGAAGCGTGGGGACAGGGAAGGTGCAGCTGCAGGGGTGGAACCCAGAGAGTTCCCACGGGTGCTGAGGCAGC